AATCTTATGTGAAAACAAAAATACCTGGTACAAATCCGAATCTAGCTGTACTAAATTTCAGAAACACAGAATCACCAAGTATAAAGTCCAAAGACTCATATACCTACAATGAATAAACTTCTCAAACCAACAATAGTTGAAAATGTAGAACATAAGATAAAGAAGAACAAAGCCAGACAGGTCACAAAGTAGGCAATGTCAGAATAACTGCCAAACCTGGAAAGAAGTCAACATGCAATGCATGCACACTAAAGTATAATTATGAAGTTATAACAAAGAATGAACAGGAATTCTTATATATATATCAAATTCAGCAGCTGTCAATATTACAGAAAATGTTGCGCCTCAGCCACACCAGATAACCAAGCACTCAGCCACACCAGATAACCAAGCACTCAGCCACACCAGATAACCAAGCAAACCCCACGATCACTTAATAGGCTATGTATTATAGCTAGAACACGGTAGTTATCTGCAAAAGTTACATATATGAAAACTGTCCATTAGTTAAGAGATACACGAATTTATTCTACAATTTGCCCTCGAATTTAAACACACTATTTTGTTCTGGTTCTAGAAAATATCGTTGTATAACTGTACTATCACTTTATTGCATTAATATGTATTATTATTCAATGTTCATGTTTGCAGTTGAGTAAGCATGGTTTGAAAGTGTATGGTTAAATAACACAGCATATGATTCATTTCATATTTACATATTTTGATGAAGTACTTTCCATCACCAATCCTAAATTTAATGATTATATTTTTCTGCTGCATTCTTAGATCTGATCAGCTTTATACCAGACTATATGACAAAAGATCATCAATTTTCGACACCTTTACAGCAGTAACTCAATTCTCTGCTACATATGGGGTAAAAATTCAAAAGGTCTTTTGGCAGATATAATTACCTTGCATCAATGTAACATGAAAGAAAGCATTGGTTTTCGAATTTCGGTAGCTTCTTTTGGCGTTTTTTCACTGATCGACGATATAATATATAGCAGTATATATTAAACGAAATACTCCATTCCTGTCGCAATAATTTGATTCTTTCTTATTGGTCAATTACCTTAATGTCAGAAAATATGACATAGAACACTTGTACTGTGATTAAACTAAAACCAAAATACACCCTAAAAAGTCGAAATATTCTGAATAGTTAGTTTTTATCAGATGACTTGGGTTTTTTGCTTTCAATTTTGTGCGATCGCACTTTGTTATTGAGTGGTTTCACAAATTTCATGATCTGTATACATCCAGTACTGCGTATGTAATCGACTGTGTACTCGAGTTATTATGAGGACTCCCACATTATGCACTCAGACGGTACATATTTTCATCGAACAACGAATACTCTTAGGGTACGTTTCTCTGCTTTCACGGTATCCTCGTTATTCAGCAATATAATGAGGGCGCTACATATTTTTGATGAGATCACTATGATTGTGTATGATATAAGATTATCGATTTGTAAACGCGTTTATTTAGATATATTGACTCCCACCATTGGAATTTGAAGTGTTTTGTGTCATCATTTGTAGAAGAGGAAACGTACTTTTTCTGCCAGTTGCAGCATAAATGTTTATAGGCTTGAATTTTAAAATTAGTAGATGCTCACCAACTCATTCCGACACTTACTTTTCAAGACATCATTCACGAGTTAACATAGCACACAAAGCAGATAAACAATGCGCCATCAGATGTGTGAGCAAATATTTTTTCATTACTCAGAAATGACACGACAAAGCCATGACTTGTTATCTGGTGTCACTGCATTATTTATTTATTTATTTGCTTCATAACTCGAGCCCATTATTTGGATAGTTCAACAAATCCAGTTGGGGCATCGAATTACTTGTGTGAAATGGTGTTTATATGTCATCGGCTGAAACGGGAAATGAAATTCTTGATAGCGACGATGCTTTTCAGTTACGTAAATGTAAGTTACGTAAGTTTGGTATAAACATTTAATGAAGAACTGTCGTTTATGGCACATTGTTTAATAGTGAAGTATCTTATAGGACACAGTGTTCAAAAGAAGTCCATTTTAGAGTGCAGTGTTCAATAGAGAAGTCTCGTTTAGGGTACAGTGTTCAATAGATAAGTCTCTTTTAGGGCACAGTGTTCAATATGAAGTCTCTTTTAGGGTACAATGTTCAATTGAGAAGTCTCATTTAGCGTACAGTGTTCAATAGAGAAGTCTATTTATGTTACAATGTACAATAGAGAAGTATCTTCTAGGCTACTGTGTTCAATAGCGAAGTCTCGTTTAGGGTACAGTGTTCAATAGAAAGTCTCTTTTATGATACAATATTCAATAAAGAAGTACCTTCTAGGGTACTGTGTTCAATAGCGAAGTCTCGTTTAGGGTACAGTGTTCAATAGAAAGTCTCTTTTAGGATACAATATTCAATAGAGAAGTACCTTCTAGGGTACTGTGTTCAATAGCGAAGTCTTTTTTAGGTTACAATGTTCGATAGAGAAGTATCTTCTAGGGTACTGTGTTCAATAGAGAAGGCTCGTTTAGGGTACAGTGTTCAACAGAGAAGTCTCGTTTAAGGTAAAGTGTTCAATAGAGAAGTCTCATTTAGGGTACAGTGTTCAACAGAGAAGTCTCGTTTTAGGTACCAAGTTCAGTAGAGAAGTCTCGTTTATAGTACATTATTCAAAACGGGATGTCGTTTAGGGTGCGATATTCATTGAAGAGTTCTCATTTCGGGTTAAAGATACATTTATAATAGAAGTGAAGGTTAAACCAGGTCACCCCGTATATACTTTGATACAAACACCTTTCCTTGTGTGAGAAGGAAAATATAGTCTGTTATACATATTACTATATATATATATATATTTTTTTATTTAGATAATGACAATTTGTTGGTCACAGCGCCCTCTAGTATTTGTTGGGAAACATGTTTATTTAGAATGCTCTGATTGGATGGAAGTTCGAGCCTAGCAAGGTATGATAGAATTGGCCTGTTATGTTCAGATTCAAATAAGTATTAACCACTAATTTGACAGGGAAGTGATACTTATAATGCAGCAAGCATTTTAATTGCTGTTGTGGTCGAGTTTTTATATTTTCCTGTCAAATGCATTTATTGGTCCACTTAAAAATCAAAATAATGTTCCCTGTAACTTAGACTCTTGTTAATCAAGGCATTTTTAAAATCATGGGTGTTAACTCCCCTCAAGTTATGACACATTGTCCCTTATAAAATAATGGTTGCTAATATTAAAATAAAGATGGCGGAGTATAGCGTTGATTCATCTCTACTCTGGATTACTTGGAGCCAGTAAAGATCCTAGAAAGTTAGTATTTATATGCCTGTGAGTTTTTTGTTTTGTTGTTTCACTGTCTTTGACTTTCCCAGAAAGTTTGTTGCTATTGACAACAATTCAGTCTTGTGCAAGGCTTCAGTCAATGTTTTTTTTCACTACCTACCCATCTCCTCGTCAGGCACTATGTAGCTGGTGTGGTATATTTATCACAGACAGTAGGGCATTTGTCACATTTAGTGTTCCAAAAAAATATTCTCTGTCCATGTGTATTTATATAAATAGATGCAGTTTCTTTGGCTTGAATAACATTCACTGGCTTCGTACATACAGGTACACTGGTTTACCTGTTTCTACTTGAAATTTAGCCAATCTTATTACCCAAGACTATTGGACATTTGCCACATGTACTCACACTCGTTTCCAAGTGTCACAGCTTGAAACAAGTGGTAAAATCTGATATTGGCTGGAGCTTTTGTTTATATGGAAATGGACATGGTGAACGGCTAACTAGATGGTCAGAAAGTAATAAAAATAATCACAGGTTTACTTCACCCACCCCACTATGAAGTGAAAGGCTGTTTATAAGGCCATTTATGATGGTTTCATGCGGTAATAGAGGAATTAATACACAACTACATGAGTAGTGAAACTCGACAGCACTGTTTCGTAAGGTACAAGTACCTCACTCATCAGGAACTTTATGTTTAATTCACTGCACCAACGAGCATACATATACAAATGTACTTCGCAAATTAACATATTAATTACAAATAAAAAAAACATACAGGTTTAAGTGTTACATAATAAGGCTTTTGATCTGTGTCGGCATGATGATACAAGTTCATTTCTTTTGTTTAGTGTGGAGTGGTGAGGTCTAAAAATTATTATAAATTTTTCCTTCAAACATAGAATGCATCGTTTACTGGAGCTACTGTACGGGCTACCACGAGCAAGAATTGTCCATGTTATTCTGTGCTCAATATTTTTTCTTTAAGTGATCAAACATATTTACTTAGTTCTGTCGCATTTCTAGAGGCCTGATTACGAAATGAGGCAGTGTGGTTTCTGTACCTTGTTTTGAATTCATTTCCAGTGAGACCGAAGTACGTTTCGCTAGTTTGTTTGTCTAAGCACGTAACTTCCGCTTGGTATATCACGCCGGACTGCAAAAACTTCCCGTCCAGTGGACATGCCGTTTTTTTCTGACAATTGCATAGTTTGTTGACTTTCGTTTTATCAGTTGTGGTGCTCTTATCAGTCGCGAGTTGCCGTTTGTTGTTACTGTTTTTGGTATCTTTTATATTGTTCATACAGCTATAGCTGACTTTGATGGTATTTCGGTTGAATATTTTCCTGAGATTATTGCCAGTCGGGAAACACTTATCAATTAAATCCAGGAATCGCTTGCCGATATAGTTACGGACGCTGCAGCTATATGGTGGGTTGTACCAAAGGACATTACTGCGTGGCCGTTTTTTTTACCCTTCTCCGTGGGGGGCTCAAACTTTAATTGGTGGTTGTAGCCACTTTCACGTAGAGCTCTTTGGTAGGGTGGCGCCGCGGTGTCAAATATCTTTTTATCTGACGATATAGATGATAATCGCCTGTTAATCCCGGCCGGGATATTCTTTGTGATGGCGGGTGGGTGGTTACTTTCCTTGTGCACGTATACCAAGTTGGCGTTGGCCTTTGTAAAAGGGCTGTATGAACCTTCAACGAGGTTTAGCTAGCGTGACATCAAGGAAGTTGACTATCTTCTTATTCGCTTCGATCGCGATCTTCAGACTGTGGTTTTTGAATACGCGACAGATATCTTGTTTGATCTGTTCAGTCTCTTTGGGTGTGGCGTCTAAGGCGACTAAACCGTCATCTCTGTAGAGACCGATCCGGACGTTATTCCCTAACCGTGCTCGAAGTTGTGATAGTAAGAAGCAGCCCACAAATTCACAGGTCTCTGCGCCGTCAAAACTTCCCATCGTGACATCAAACGTGTTGGAGCCCTTCTTCTGCCACGGTGATTGATTGTGGAACAACAATGTTTGTTTGGCGTGAGAGATGATGTTTATTTCTTCATCCGGGATGTTATCATAAGCTGAGGCGAAACGCAACGCTTTGCTCAATAGATCTTCGCTTATGGATGGGTAGAATTCCACAACGTCAAAACAAATAAAGTTATAACATGCCTTGTTATCGATATTATCAAACCATTAAATATATGTATATATATATATATATCATACTATTATACATCATTTCAAGACTGATCATTTCATCTAGTGTAGCACATTGATTTGTGTACTACTGTACACAAAGAGCTGTGTACATGTGTAAATGTAGTTTGTCTCATATATATTGTTATATTGTTCATTGTACTTTGTTGAAATCTCTAGAGCATTGGTTAATTGAGATTAATGAATTGTTATGTCTTATTCTGAAATAGCTAACACTTTGCCGTTAATAAAAAAACAACCAAGGAGAACATATATGATACGATTAATTGTGAAATAAACATATCAATGCGATTGCGCATTGAATTAACTGTACGTATAGGCATATTCTATGGAGCTAGCATGTACTAGTTAATCATTAATTCATCTTTAATCGTGCTTCTGTGTAAGTTCCCAAAACAACACTGTTTTTTTTTTTGTTGGTTTTGTTTCGTTTTCTTTTTTGTTTTGTTTATTACTGTATTTACTGTATTTATTATAGTCCTGTAATTGCTTTTGTTATGGGTAATAAAAAAAAATATTAAAAAAAACAAAAAAAAACAAAAAAACAACACTGTTATTGTCTGAGACTGAACTCTCGTTCATCGCGTCAAGTCGAGTAAGTCTTGTAACATGTCTGTTGACTCCCGGGGGAATTTTCTCAACGATCTTTGTGCTTACGTCATAGTTGCCGATTTGCATATTTAACAATCAATGATAGCAGTGCAATTGAAATGCGACGGAAACCCATTATTTCCATGTCCTGAAGACATTTCCTCCAATTAACTTCAGCGGAAGAGCGCTCCCGCAACAGATTTCTGCGGCGAAAACGAGATGAGTAGACGTCTTTTGTCAAAATACTCCACAGAGCAGAATAACATAGACAATAATATTCTCTCTAGGATAGAATTTGAAAAAAAATGAGGACGATGAATAGCATAACAATATATAGCTATTAAGTCGCATCTGCGTCATGATTTCAATGTATTTCTCTTGACGTCAATGAAACGAATACATATAGGAACCGAATTGAATTATAATAAGGGCCTTAAAATGTATCATTTAAAATGAAAAAAAAATATTCGTGACATTAGATGTATCAATTGTCCTCCCTTGACATGTTGATGCGTGAGGTGAATGTATAAACTATGACTTTGAGATAATCTTCATAGCGCGTATGAATTTTAATGTCGCGCAAAATAAAAAATATTTTTTATTTTTATTTTATTTTTTATAATTTGTTTTTCACAATGTTGATCACGACTTGCCAACGTAAAATATGGCATATCCGGTTCAAAATTATAAATTATAGAAAAATACGGCGCCCAAATAGTTAATGCGCGAAACAGGACCAGTAAAAAAAACGTCAAGGAAAATTTAACGAATTTCGCGTCTATAACTATGTTACCGGGGATATGAAGTATTTCTACGAATGTCAAGCGGCCAGGTTAACTATACAAAAGAAATTACGACACCTTTAAGAAGGAAGTAAACGTCATTTTGTTTATGAATCCACATTTTGCTCTTAAAAATTCATGCGTCGCTTGTACAAAAACAAAATAACAATATGCAAGTTTCATGAGCGAAATTTTGTGATATTGATAACTATATCGATCTCTGTATTTCGGACGCTGGATCCTGGTAAGGTCTACATCTAAGATTTGATTCAATAAACGGTGGGAGTGTGTGGTTCGACATTGCAGTATATAATTTCCATGTTACCATGGCAACTCAAGCATATGCTTTTGACACAACTAAGATGACTAGTAGCTGGTAGGCGCATATAAATCGTAAATAATTGTTAATTAGAATATGTCACCACGTCGTGTTGTACACACACCGCATGGACAGGGGGTTTCACAACCGTTTACAGAACCAGCAACTTATACCAAAAGAGCAGCAGAGCGAGACGGCAAATACATATTTTTCTTGTCAGAAATGTATCTTCCCAGTGACACAATATTTTAATGACTCATTAAATAGTAAGTACAGTGATATCCAAAGCAGTTTGTCATGAAGTCATGACATAATAAACCAGACAGTAGCCAATCACAACTGTTCCACTAATACACCTTTTCTATCAATCAAGACCTCTAGTGACAAGGCACTTCTATGCCGTAGAAGGATGGCATAATTGCCGTTTAAAGTGTCGATAATTTTTTATCTGTAGTCGTTTACCAATACGATCATGTTTTGACAGATGTCTCCCTTTTGTAGACAGCGAACGTCTACAAAGATAAACACAATTATTCATTTGAACGATGTTGCTTTCACCCTTATACGTCATTTTGACGTCACAGAAACGTCCGAATGATAAGAATGGTGTATTATGCCTCCGGTAGACTTTTATCTTTCACTCTATATCTCATGTAAAATGAGTGTTGAGTTTGGGAACTTAATCCAGAACAATTTGATTGTTTTACAGACTTTCTCATTTTCAACTTCCATTTCGTCTACCGATGCGCTAAATATGTATACTACACGTACAAAACAACATACCGCAAAACAACAAATACTTTTCTTCTATTCCCAAAAATAGTTATGGGAAAGAATATAAGTATTTAATGAAAATAATAACAAAACATGTAACGAAATTATTGAAATATAATTTTCATGTTACCATGATAAATCCAGCATAATGCTTTTGACACGTCTTAGACGACTAGTGACTGATATCTTGACATATTTATAACCCACATTTAGGTCAATACATCGCAAAGAAGTGTAAATAAATAATTGTTAATTAAATTCTGTCACCACATCGTGTTGTATACACAACGCTTAATACGCAGATAAAGGGGTGCTTCACAGGTGTGGCGTTACTCACGATCGACACCATCATCTACACCATCAGTATCACTCTGCGATACATCGTGAATTGGCAGTCTATGGCTCTTAGTAGGTAATAATACAACCTTCACGGTATACCCTGGACGCACTATGATTTTTTCGTCAGGTAAACAGCTGTTGAAATATATCTCCTGCAATTAAAGAGACGACGATTGTCGGTGTTAGTGTAGTTAAATGTAATGCAAATTGTGCCCTCTAGTGACAAAGTGGTTCTGTTTAATGTGTAAAGGGCCATCGATATTGTTGCCCCGCCAAGGAGGTTATGGTTTTTTGCTGATCTGTAAGAAAAATAGCTGAAAACGTTACAAACTTATCCTAATGAAGTCGTCACGAAGGGATGCCTTTGATACAAGGTTTAGTTCATTAAATTTTAGTCGCGATGTGGATGTGGTTTCCATGGAATCATCAATTTCCGGATAATTTTTCAGTTGAACACAAAATACAGTAGCGTTCATAGGAACTCAACATTCGAACCGTCAGCCATTAAAAATGTAATAATTATATCGTAATACATATATGATATAAAACTTCACCTTTCCGTTGCTGTTGACGACGACGATGAACCATACACGGGAAACTGATGTGTTAATGTTAAGTATGCGACTGATGACGTAACATTCATTATTAGTTTGTCGTACACTATATTGAAAAGGATTCGCAATTTCTGAATTTTGAAATTCGTAGTTCCACTGCGCTTGCGTCAATACATTATTAACAGTCTGCCGAGGGGTGGAGGTGATATTCTGCGACGCAAAGCCACCGCTGCCATCAGATATTGTCAAAAGCACAGGTAGCTGAAAAAAAGAAATTATTTAATTGCATTATTATAATAACAATTAGAGGTTATTATATTCTGATAAGCATTGTATCATTTCGAGCGTCTTAGACTAGTGTATACACACTTCTATCGAACTAGATTACGGTCACCCAGAGCGACATTCAATATAAATTATGATAACGTACGTTTTTGTGGGGTCAAAAAGTATAGCGTGGTGTAGATTGAATTCCCAAAATTATTTCCGCAGCTATAAAAAATGTGGCTCTTCGGATATCACGGCTACTATTATGATAACGTTTGATATGTATCTAATTGGGTTGGGATCATACAAACGTCACCATTAAGTATTCCTTTTTTATTTTTATTAACACAAAATCTTTTCTGAAAGTCTACACTTTTATCTTGCCTTCGAATTCCACGACAAATCATTGCATCGCGCGATTTCAACGGAACATCACCATGGCTGTGAATATAACATATCTCATGTAATACTTTGCCAACCTTTGTCATTTGGAATGCCGCTTGCATCGTAAGTAAGTTAATTTTAAAAACACGTAAACTGGCATGTCAAGAAACAGTAATCAGGACATCTTACCAATGGTAACAAATGCTGAGGCGCAAAATCTGGCAATCCTGCAGCGGGTTTACCGTGGTTCCCAGCAATAGGACCTAATTCATCAGACGTATACGTTGGTTCATGGTTCTTGGCATCAGACATCGTTCGTAGAGCGCCCGCCACAGAGATCGGAAATTTTTTATTAGAGACAAATTCCCCAAGTGTATCAGACTCAGTGAAGTGCTGAATCGCTGAGTGATGCATTGGGAATTCTTTCATAGTTGAGGCCGGAATCCCGGTTTCCAAGGGAGCAATTGGTGGCAATTCCATGTGATCTATAGTGGGAGGTGCTGGTAAATCGGAAATGGATGGAAATCTTTCTCTTGTCGAATTGACTTCTGGCTTATTACCTGTGGGTCTCCTATTTCCAAACAGGGCTGTTGATAGCGTAATCGGATTATCCTGCTCGAAGAGCTGTTGACAGATTCAAAAATAATGTTATTTACTAAGAGAGAGAGAGAGAGAGAGAGTTCAGTTAGCTCACATCGTCACTTGAATAGAATTTTCATGAAACCTGCGCCTCGAGTGACGGAGCTACTTTTTTGACGTAATTCAGAGATAACTCAATCGTCAATATCGTTTTGATTTGTAGTTAATCGAGGAAAATTAGGTTTTTGAGAAATTTTACTATATTATCGATGGGGAAAGACTACACAAACATACACAGTTATCAATTTGAACGACTTTTTTTTACGTGGAATTACATCATTTTGGCGTCATAGGTTGGTGCAAACAATAGTAATTAATCTAAAACAATGCAATAATGACATACTCGGAGGAATAAATAAACAACAGTAATTAAACGCAAGGAGCCAAGTGGTGAAAGTAATTAAAATACTAATAATTATTCATAAAAAATCAAATATGTTTATCCAGAAAAGAATGGTAAAGGTTTAGCTTATGTGTATTGTGTGTATTTCAACGGACTGTGTATCGCAGTCAGTGTGACTATTTCACCAACCATTTTACATTCGATATCACATGACACATTAATGATAGGGATGTTTAAACTATTTTTTTAAATATTAACAACAAAAAATTTTGAAAAGGTGCACTCAAAATATGGCATCCAAACGGCCTTCTGTTACCTTTTGTTCTGGTTGACTGGAATGGTATAGGACGTCTTCATTCTCCTTTAGCGTGTCGCAATCAGGCTGATTTGACTTTACATTAATATGATCAGGTAAGTCGTGTTTAGGAATGTATCCAATAATTCCAATGGGACTTGGTAGGGAATATGAACCGCTACCTTGTTTGTCAATGGAATGTGATGCTTCGCCTGGGATGTGGGCAGGATGTCTAGCGGGCTGTTTCCCATGCTGCGTCTGTGTATATTCTTGTGTTTCACCATTGCCGTTTCCGACACTGCTACTAACGCCGGCGCCAGAATAGAATGCGGGTACTTTTTGAAGGGTACTAACTGGTACGGAGAGAACTTCTGTCCAGATACAGCATGACACAAGTAGATACGACAAAACCATCGGGGTCCTCATAGTAATATTCTATATAACTGTAACGAATCATAGCAAACGGTGAACATTAAGACCCATCACAGGGCACATATATTGTACCACAGGTCAGAAATGTAAAAACAACATCAACAACATTATTCTCACTCATAATACGTAAAAGAATTCTACAGTACGGTATTACTGACATGGCAGAAGTTGAGTCACCCTCGAATTACCAAACCATTATTTGTATCTATTAAAAATACGTGGCATATATCATATAAGTACGGACGCATATATGTATAATTATAATATAATAAATTAAAAGAGACTAAAATATAACGAACATTTTTCTCGTTAATTCTCATTGTTCGTTGTGATCAAAATATCGCAATTTTCATCAAATTTAACTTCGATACAAATGTTGACATAACTGTATGGAGGATATGTGCTCCTAAGATGCACGTAGATTTACATTCAGCATTATATAATGTGAGATGTAAAACAAAGCGAATCGGGATATGGATATGGAAATGAAAAACAATTAGACAGTGCATGTAGTTGTCAAGTAAAACTGTATGTTAAGTGATTTTCACTACATATTGGATAAAGTAAGCTAATATTCTATCCGTCCGTTTGCCAGCATCGGTAAAAGCAATAAAAACAGTTAAGTTAAGGGGAAGTGATCGCCGTGCAGAACGCCGATTCTGTTCGATTATGTCAACAACTTACAACCTCGTTCGCAGTTGATTTACGCACACGGTCACCGTCTCATATACACAAACAAATGAGCCACATTAATGCATTTTTTCTGGATTTAGCTGTGTTTAAGTATTTAACCGTCATGCAGTAGTGTAATAAATGATATTCACGGTCGGTGATAATTATAGATGATAAAGCCATCTTTTTTTTGTAAACCTCTTTTGCTCCTATTTTGTTCTCATCAAAACATTTATCCTATATACTATATACTATAGCATATTCAACAGAAAGTCACAGAGGGATATTTACACAAAACAAATGAACAACAATAATGGAAAAAAAAACGATTCACAAAGACGAAACAAGGACTGCACAAGATAGTCAAATAAGTAATATAACGAGTATACATGAAGTGATGTCAGGTGTTTTGATATGAGTGAACACATCGTGATATAAACATAGTTATGTTTACCCTTTTATAAATTAATTATTTATTGTCTTTTATAAATTAATTATTTATTGTCTTTTATAAATTAATTATTTATTGTCTATGTGAGTGTTATAGCCACTTTACATCGGTATGTAATTATATTGTTGCATTAAGGCAATATCCGTTTAATATCTTATTATTGGGTTAGATGAATCTATCTACATATACTTCGTATTTTTCAGTGAAACATGTCTATATAAAAACATATTATGATTGTTATATGATTGATATAATTAGATTAAAATTATATCATTTTGATAATTGTTGAGAAACAGGGTTCTAAGTCCAGCAAAGGTTCAAACTCATGCAAATACATACGATTGTCTACCCTCATTTACAAAATGATATCGATATTTATACCATTTTTAAATTATCAAACTCCAAACGTTAATAAGAAGTAAAAAAATAATGTTAAAGGTATAGATGTATATTGCGTCACATGCTTATTAAAAAACCGTCATTTTATTTGAAAATGTGAACAAAAATACAAAACTTCTCGCTGCCGTTATAAAGTGTAGTATTGTAGAGTGGCCTTAGGTAAACGCCATTTGGCGATTTGCATGCTGGGAGAAATTCACCTACGTGACTTGATATGTCAGGATTTTGAACCAATGAGATTTGTATCGTTGTTTGTTTGCCAACAATTTATACATTTACGTCACTGTATATCCGTCAGTTCTTGCCAGATAACTTGCGTAAACAGGTCATTTTAAAACTTACTTAATATTGTTTTGATGGAAAAACATTGTTTGCATGACATGGTATGATATAACGTTAAAATGTTAATAATAAATAACTACAATCGTTTGTCTCTCACGTAGTGGAAACTTTTCAGCCCATCACTTATATAGGTAATACGTGACGTACAAACGTTAAAAACGTCGAACGAGGGTAAAATTGTATGAGGTAGAATTTATAATCAATATAATTCATGACTAAAAGCAACAGAAAAAGTTAAAAAGTGAATTGAAAACCATTCACAGTCGGTAATGCGTGGTTCTGTACTCCCATTCAGTAATGATATGAGCACCGGCGTCACAACACATAGTTACTTCATTCATGTTCGATTTCCATGTACCAATCTAAAGCCCATCGAACGTTTTGACAAGTATTGTTTTTATACAAATAAGTTTCATTGTGGAAGCAAAATACGATATTTAAAAACGTTTTGTGTTTTAACTTCGCTATTAGCAACATATACGACAGAGACTCTGAGATACACAAGTACAAAGTTGTAGTTGTACGTCATGAGAATATTAATATTTTCATAAGCTGAATACTTTACAATTCTGAATAAAACGTTATTCCTGCGCAGTAATATCGTTTGTTTCCTTGACTACACTTTTTATTAAGATACATAGAGAAAACTACCCATTGTCCATATTCTTTGGGAAAACATTCTTAGCCTTATATGTGAAAAACATAAACTAATTAAAGGTTGTAAAACGTTTAAAACTGGTATACTGACGAGGATTATCGTCCTTTGATAGAGAAATAGCCATATTATAACCGCTCGTGGCATTTTGTAACCCTATTTATCCTACTCAACGTTTTCTTGTAAAGTAAACATTTTGCTCTCTGACATTTGACAAACTGCTCAGCAATACATACTCATAGTACAATCTCATACTAATAGTACAATCATCTATCAAAGATTTACAATATATTTAAAAGGATCTAGATGAAATCTGATAAAGTACGTAGAATAACATGTTTTGTTACCAACTATGTCGGTAATACCCCCCCGTCATTTGAAACATGGCATCTGTGTTACTTGGTTACCCATGCTGCAACGTGGTTCGCTTTTACAGCTAAGATCATTTCCCATAGATAGGGGGAGCTGAAAAACAATTTGACTTTATGAGAGTTATATCAGTTTTAGAAATCATTCTTTTTCATCACGTTGTATTCAACAAATAATATTTATCTTGTTCAAACACGGGAACGAAAGTATGAGTCAAATCGTGCTCAATTCTTAATCAGTTCAGAACATACTAGTGGTTCATTCTCATCTAAAACAGAACAAGATACGGTGCAATCTTTTTGAAGTTGGCGCAAATCTTTCATTTTTTTTATATTTGATTTATACTACTGTCATGAATTTGTTTTTGCGTATATGTTGATCGACTTAATTAGCTGATTACGAGTGAATTACTGTGTCATGTCTGTCACCGTTTAGGCCTATTTGAAGTTTTGGACGGAACTTGGCTCAGTGATTTGGAACTAATTACGAGATAACCGTCGCTATTCTTACTACTATTTCTGACAGTTAGTATTCGTAGTTATTAACGTAGTGAACGATTAATCAAAAGATATGACGTATTCAGTACTTAGTTTGATTGGATTTATGATTGAAGGTTACGCCTTAGAGTCTTTTTACTGCTTTGTAATTGGTTAGAGTTTTGAAAATGAATAAAGAGAGTTTGAGTTGGCCTTGGCGAGTACTCCACGACAGAGGCAGTCTAAGTCCAGCCTAAGAGAGTCCAAGTCCAGACCTAGAGAGTCTTGGGCGAGTCTTGGGTCAGCCTTGCGATAGTCTTGGGGATTTTTCCCCAGGGCACTGTGTCATATAGAGTACTCGACTGATCGACTAAGATGAGAGTTGAAACGTATTTCGCTGTGTGTGTCTTATTTGACTGTAAAGTATAAGTGACTTTCCTGATCCCGTACCTCAAAGGGACGCGATATAGAAACGAGACGAGATTCACCCCTGACACGTGTGGAGAACCCCGTGGAGAAGAATTACCCCCTGATACGTGGTGGAGAAGCCGGGCAGGTGTTTTACACATATTGACATTCTGTGAAGAAAAGTGGAATGGCGAAGATGTGTCTTTTATGCGAACCGAACTAACAGCTCGACCACAGAGACAAAACCGCGCTTGACTACTAACACCGTTAACAGTATGGCACCGATGTACAACGCTGATGAAGACATGAAGATTTCAGAACCCCTTCGGAAGGACCAGTATCGAATAGGACTGCATAATTAAGAATTGAACGACATTAAAGACAAGAAGATGATAAAGAACGACCCGGACTAACGCGGTGACCAGAGGAGACGCTTATAGACTTTGATTAAAACTTTAGCTATTTGCTTAGAGAACCGCTCGTTGGACACTGTAACTGACACTGTGTAACTCAAAACGTTGAACTTATTTCCAGAATCCTAACCCTATTGTTCAGTAATGTAATGTATTGCTTGCTTTTCCTATCGTTTTTACCGTTTTTTTTTTTTTGTGATATTGAATTGTATGTGTGTAAACGCCCAGATCTTTGTTTTGAAGTGATATTTAGTTACGTGCGAGGTCCTTTATAACGATTTAAGCGCGCCTCAGTGGACAAGTATTTGCAACACAGTGTTTTGAGTTTTGTGAAGTTTTATGGAGTTTTTATGAGTTTATGGGTAAGGATTATGATGGGGAAAGTAATGCCCCAAAGAGTTTTTCAGAGTTTTGAGATTTGTCGAGTACAGAGATATCGACGTTTTAAGAGTTGTTTTTGTTTACGTGTTGTTTTCCGGAATACTTCTGACGCTTTTTGAGTGGGGAACACCTTTGTAACGTTTTCTAATGTCTTTTTGGAATGAGAGTGTGGTGCGCTTATATACTTATTGTTTGATATCGAAAGCTTTTGTTCATGATTGACAGGTTTATATGTAACTTAGTAGTATCTATCGTTTTAGCCTTTTCCGTCTTAATTGCCAGAGGAGTAATGTGTTATGAAAGCGACATTGTCTTTGCATTCCGTTTCCACACCGTATGACTTGTGTTTAGATTAACGACTTATGAGTTCAGTTGAAGTTTATAAGCGTATATGACAGGAGTTTGATTAATAGCTT